CCTCCTCATAGGCTCAGGGACAGTCACAGCCAGTGAGGAGGAAGTGGAGGGCGGGGCTGAGCTGTACTCTCTGTGTCTATGAACACGGCTCGGGAATAATCCTGCACGAGTGCCCTCATAGCAAGAGGCTTGCTATGGTGGGCACTTATCGAGGGGAAAGGTTAGAGAAGCGCTGGCAGGGAACCTGAAAGGAGGAGGATAGGGGCTGCCCTGTGCAAAACCATTGCACAGTGCAGGTAAGTATGAAATGTTTGTTATTTTTAAAAAATTATAGGTTTACAATAACTTTAACCCTGTCTGTCCTGGACTGGCAGATTTGTATTATCATTTGTAACCTTGATTGAATACCATCTCTCCTAACAAAGGATTAAAGACCTCAAGACTTGCCTTCAGTTAGTTCCTCTAATTGCACTTTGAAATTATTCAGAATAGCCCTATCTATAAATCTGCTGCAGAATTTACAGACCTTTTGTCCCTTCTGTGAAAATGATGTGCTATGGCTACACTTAGACTGCAGTTGTTTCCTTGAGGCTAGATCGTATTTCTGCACTAGTCTTTTAGTGTGTTATGTATGATTATTATGTGACAAGTTTACGTTATTTGCTTTACTTAGGCTAGGTTGAACACTGGACATAAGGCAAGCCTAACTAGCCTTACGGTGCAGATTTACCAGTTATGCTGCCGAAGTTGAGAACCTCGGTTTGCTTTTATTTTTGTTCAGTTTTACTTTCTTAAGGCCTATTCCTACAACAGCTTATCATATTGGCCTGTTGTAACATTAACATGATGGATATATGGCTATTACAAGTAATGCTTTTGGCTATTGTCTACTACTATGTTCTTGTCAAATCCTATGTAACATGTGTGGCCTTAAATGAAGATGGAATTTAAAAAAAAACAACCGCTGCAAAGAAAAAAAATAGAAAGGTAAAAATGTTCTTTAAAATTATTTTTTGGATTGGCTGTATGAATGTGAAAACATAACAGACATACAATAGGGGTTTCTCAAATCTGATTGCAAAAGTGGAAATATACTTTAACTGCTTCAAAACTGGGCCAATTCTGACATTTCTCTCATACATGTAAATTTGTAGCTAGGTCCAAGGATACTCTAGGTGCTGGCCTTGGATGCCTTGATAATTCCCTCATTTCAGCCTAATCTATGCCTTCCCTTCAGTGTGAATTATTTCTCATCAACTCAGAAATATAGTCCAAGAGAGGAAAACTAATTGTCATTGCACCGACCTGTCCCAGAAGAACCTAGTACACAGATATACTCAAGACTTCTAGCAAACAACCCCTTGCCTCTTCCCAACAGGCCAGATCTGCTGTCTCAGAGCCCCTCTATTCCATCCTGCTTCAAGGTCCTTGGTTTTAACAGCATGGCTTCACTCTTTTGTAAGAACTTTTATTTTATCTGAAGATAAAATAATAAAGGAAAATAAAAAAACTTGTTAAGCTAAGGGTGATTTCTCCATGAAGGAGAAGAGTTCCATCGTCTTAGAACACAAAACTGAGGATTCACAGAGTGGGGTAGGGTTATAGGGTAGGTGCTCAGGGGGCGTGTCCTTGAAAACCTGCCAGTGTTAAATCAATCACCTGAAGATACAAGCCTAAAACCCAGGGTATATGAATACTTTGGCTGTGTCCTGTGCTGTATATTTAAACACAATACATTTTGATTTTCCTATAAATTTATCTTTGAGTACAGAACATGACACAAGGTGGGTGTTTATAGACCATGTATTACAAAATGCTACCTTTGAGATATTGGACACTGCCAAAAACCTTTCATAGGGCACCCCCTAGAGCGACCCCATATAACTCAGCCTACTTTGTGAGGCTCTTTTTTTTTTTTTTTGTTAGCAAGCAATAAGGAGTGATCAAGACAAAGAGGGAAGGGACTTGTGTCCTGTATTGTACTGTACTAAAAGTTAAGGAATTTACAGACAGTTCATAATTCCTATTATTTTAATTGCACAGTACAGGACACAGGATTGGTATTGAAAGACCATGAGATGTGCCCACGCAATAAAACTGAGGGGTGGGCAACAAAATAGTAAACGTAGAACTACAAACAAGCCCACAGGAAACACGGGGGTCTCTTAAGAGCAGACAGCACCAGGTTGAGATTCAAGGTGACATGGGAGGTTTGATTGGAGGCATGATAACAGCAACTCCCTGTAGAAAAGTTCTGATAAAGGATCCTAAGGCAAGGGGTTTTGAGAGAAAAATGTTGGATAAGGCAGACACCTGTCCCTTGAGGGTACTAGGGCCCAGAAGCTGGTCAAGAGCAGACTGAAGAAAGACCAAAAAAGAGTGATAGAGTATTACCAGAGGGTTAATCCATCTGTCCCTGCACTATAGGACCACCAAAGAAGGTCTTCCAAGTGCAAGGGTAAATGTTGAGAAAGTTTGCTTCCTTGCTTTGAGCAAAGTGGTAATTACAGAGTCAGAGGTACCTTTATCCTTTAGGACTTGGCAGCCATGCAGTTAAAGCCAGTGAATGAGAAGCAAAATAAAACAGGGACCTTGGGCCAGTAAGTCTGGTCTGTTTGGAAGAAGCCAAGGCTCATCTGTCAGAAGTTTGAGTATGTGTACCACGTTCTTCTGGGCTAAGTTGATGTGATGAAAATTACTGAGACCTTTTCCTCCTCTATCTATCGCAGCAGTTAAGGGAGGATCATCATCAAAAGGACGGCATAATCCAGTTGGACTTGACAGCATCTATGGCAAAGGTTAGACTATCCCTGGTCTTGGCTATAACTGTGTTCAGCTTGTTCAGGGAAAGAGGATGGACGCCGCTCATACCCATCCCAAGGAGTCCTGTGAAGACGCTGTGATTTGGATGTCCTCAGCCACCACTCTGGCCACGACCTTTGACACATTTCACCCTGCCCAAAGGGAGCTTGGTCATAGAGGCTGCCTGAGTGCTGAAACCCTTCCCCATGGTCTAGACATTGATAGCTTAGAAAATCCACCTGCCAACTGTACACTCCTGGAATAAGGACAGTTGAGGAAGCTGGAATGTAAGCTTTTGTCCCAGAGAGTATTAGAGTCCTCTCTTTCAGAGCTGCTAGGCTTCTGGTGTACCTTTTATGATTTATATAGACCAGCCTATTTCAACCAGGGTGCCCAGGTATCTCCAGAGGTGCCTTGGCAAAATGCCTAAAAATTGCCCAAAAATTGTATACAAGCCAGCAGGTGGATCAAGCCTGCCTTTTAGTTACACAAAGCCACAGGTTTTCACTGTGCACCATTACAACTTTCTAATCACCAATGACATAAAAAAATCAATGATGGCATCAGCTGATGAGAACATTGGGCCTTGGCACAGCATCCTTGCTTGCCCCTCCCCTGCCCCTCTCCATCAGCACTGGGGTCACATTAGCTGAGTGAGAGTCTTTGCATCCCGCTCTCTAAGGCGCCCATCCTCTCTGCAACTCCAGTGGCTGCCTCTCCATCCAGCTCCCAATGGATCAAGTCATCTATCTGCCAGCGGTTATGGGCTTCTACCATAATGACATGCCTGCAAACACTTCACCCTTGTGAGTGCAATATTATATGATTTTAATTATCTTTTTAATAAATTGACATACTACGCTATATTGTTTCCTTGGGTGCCTCTCTACCCTTCCCCATGGATTATCAAGAGAACCTATTACTATGAACCTTAGGAGCATAAATCTTCATATGGCCTCCATGCTATTTATTGAAAATTGTCATAAAAAGACTCCAGATCAGACTTACCCACCTGGTCTACATTGCAGATTGATAATATTTCTCTAAGGTAAGGCTTAGGAACAGGAAAAACCAATAAAGTGAACCAGTTATAAACTTTATAAAGCCTTATAAATTCAAACTGAAGAAAAAAGGGCATGAGCAGAGGCTTTTGTTAGTGAAAACCAAACATCGAACAAAAAGCATGTCTGGTGCTATGATGATGGAAGGTACAGTGTGTACATTTGCTACAGCATACAGCCCCCAAAAAATTCATTTTCCATACAGCGTGAACTGAAAAAACTTAATTATAAAGGACTTAGCTGATTAGTAGACCATAGTGTTGTGGTCTTCTAGCTGACAAAGTCCTGACCACTGAATTTAGATGTGTGACACATCATAAGCTGATCAGTACTGATTGATTTCAGTAGAACTGAACTGTCCTGTCAAAAGATTAAATAGTAAGCAGAGGCTGTGTGATGATTAAAAAAAGAAAAACAATAGGGTGGGACACACAAATGTAGGCGGTCGTGAAGAGATGGTACTAAGAAATTCAGCAATATACATTTTAATAGGTTTTCAATTTATGGAGGGGCATATTTAAACCTCATTCCTGTCCAAATCTGGAAACCCTAATACAGCTGCAAAGCTAATTGTCAGCCCCCCTTCCCCCATCCTGCCAAAACTATTCTACAAAAAGTTTGGATATACATCGCCCTCTGGTGGAGAACTGAATGATGAAACCACCAGACGTGATTAGCCAGAGAGACAAGATAGAGGGAATTTCTGGTTCAACCAATAACATTACAGCTGTCAATATTCAGGTGCAGATAAAAAAAAAGTGAAGCAACATCTGATTGGTTGCTATGGGTAAGATTAATCATTTACTGTTGTGTTTTATACATTGGTACCACACCTATGATAATAGTGAATCTGCAAGAAGAGAAATTTGGGAACGAGCATTGCAAATATGTCTTTTTGTAGCCTGTCAGCAAAGACAGCAATGGCAGCCCTTATAAATCAATCCCCACCTATTCCTTTTAACTCATGCAGATGGAGGTAAAAGCTTTTTATCCTCTATTAAAACAAGACATGTTGTTTATTCATTCAGCATAATGATGACATCCAAAGTGCGGTTACGTAAGTCAGCCAATCAGCTTTGGATCATTGGGAATAGAACAGCAGAATATGAAAGCTGATTCGTCACCATGAGTTGCTACACACTGATAGACCTTGGGATAGAGTAGTCCATGTTTAGTACACACTCGCATGCCTCATACCTCTCCAGCTCTGCGATTTTGGTGTCCTTCTCATTCTTTTCATTTTCCATCTCCTTCAGGATTTCGAGCAGTCGGTCCACTTCAGCCTGTGACTTGCTGGCTTCCTCCCGATACCTTGCTACCTCCTTTTCCACCTGTTGAACCCGCTCATTCACTTCTGGGCTGGATTTGGCCTCCTGTGCTGCATCTTGGGCCTGGTGGTTCAACAACATATTTTGTAAGAAGCAGAAAAAAGGCTATTAAAGTGTATGTACAGCCAAAACTTTTTTTTCTTAGTTATGGATAGAATGTGAAAGGGTTAAACACACACAACAATCTGAATGTACAATCTTCTTTAGATCTAACAACAGCTATATAGTGCAAGCACCTGCCTGATTGGATAAATACAGATTTGATAGTTTAAGTAGGTCATTATATTATATAATTTTGGTAAATCTAAAATTAATTGTATAAAGATTGTACGGTCAGATTGCAAACTGTAAGGTGAGCTATAGAACTCCCGTTGGCTCTTTGGTACTATCTAGATTTATCCTCATTTTCTGTCCTGCTGGCGATGTTTACCAGACATGAAGTAAAAACCCGATAGGGGTTATAATCCTTTTTCATACCATCCAAACCTAACAAAGTATTTTTGGCTGAACATACTCTTTAATTAAAGAAAGACTCTAGTCTAAACAATTGTTTATAACAGTTGCTTACATTTCTCCAAGTAACCCAATGACGATGATTTTGTCTGTTTGTCTATTAATGGATGTCCCCACACTTATAGCCATGCTGAGCCTGTGACAATTATGACATGCTGCGAAGGAGTGGCCACACACAGCTCTTCATTATTATTCATTTGAACATAAGTATGAACGAGCCATGCAGGCTCCATAAACAGCTGTGCTGATCTCTGACTAATTTTGATGGTGGGAGTATGTTACCTTAATAGTTTAGATGAGTTTCCGCCACCCCCCTCTGCCAATCCCTCCACTGGCTTCCGATTGCCCAACGGATCAAATTCAAACTGCTAACACTAACGTACAAAGCTGTCCATAATTATGCCCCAAACTACATCACCGACCTAATATCCAAATACCACCCAAAACACACTCTCCGCTCTTCACAAGACCTCCTTCTCTCTAGTTCCCTGATCTCCTTCTCCCATGCCCGCCTCCAGGACTTCTCCAGGGCATCACCCATCCTCTGGAACTCCCTAACTCAATCCATCAGACTATCACCCACTCTCCTCTCCTTTAGGCACACCCTAAAAACCCACCTCTTCAGGGAAGCCTACCCCTCCCTCTGCTAACTGCCGATCTCCTCCACTCTTCCTACGAGTCCATCCCCCACAGCTTTTCCTCCCGTACCACTATCCCCTCCCTCCTAGATTGTAAGCTCCAAGGAGCAGGGCCCTTGAACCCCTCGTGTATCGTACTGTATTGTTATTGCAATGTCTCATGTATTGTCCCCCATTGTAATGTACAGCGCTGAGCGAACTGTTGGAGCTATATAAATGCTGTATAATAATAACAGATGCAAACAGTGCTTAGCAGAGTTATTCTTAAATAAGGGAATAAAATGAAGCACAAGAAAAAGATAAATGACTGTAGAGAACATGTGGAGGATGAGGAGGGGATTATGGGAGATCATCGACTTCACATAGCCCTCACATTTTATCTGTATTGAACGTCTTTGAACGCTCTTATTTTTTTTGTAAGATATCCAACTCTCGCTTCTCCTGAAATGTTGGGCACTGTTGGATAACTCTGTGTCTTCTGGGCTTACAGCTTACAAGCTTATACAATAAAGCAGTGCAAACAACAATGGGCTTGCTGCAATGGTCTTGAGTAACCAATTTAGAGCAGGTAGAAGAAAAAAAATTAAAACACAGACTAAGGAGCAGTCACCTTATGGTAATATTAAGAAGGAAGCTAAGCCAGTATGTGCAATAAACCAAGCTGCTCCACGTTTGTAATGTCAAGGACTGCCAATAACATAATTTACGTCATGAAGTCCATTCCAGGTTGAATGAGCAATAAACAACCGTGCCTGAATGAAGAACTTCTGAGAAAGCCTGAGAATTCTGTGTTTTCCTGAAAGGCCCGTGGCTGCAGGCAGCTAACAAAGTCCAATGAACAGATGCTTGTGCACCCAACCCCCACCTCTCCACCCTCCCTGGCATCCTTTTCAGACTACTGCTGTGGACAATAATTAGCAACTGTTTATTTACATGGGGCGCTGCTGCCATTTCACCCAGCATGCTCCCCCTGCCCACATCACACTGGAACTCTGTCAATAGCTGCCAGTACCAGGTCACATCAACAGGACAAGAAGGGGAGGCGAAAAACCACACTGGACTAATGACAGGACAGCAGGTCACCAGACCAGACCGGATAAAGGAGGAGGGGGGGGGGGGGTGAAAAACAATACCCTAAGCACAACACTCAGAATGTAAATAAAAACACCCAGCTGGAAGATAAAGGAGGAGTGGGGGGGGGGGGGGGTGAAAAACAACACAACACTCAGAATGTAAATAAAAACACCCAGCTGGAAGGAACCAGCATTCAATCCTAATACCAACATAGATTGCCAAGCCAGGAGGCATGTAGAGAGCCCTCTGCTAATGCAGGCCATAGACGGGTTGTTTATCAGCCGAATTTTCGTCTGTACGAAAATTCGGCCAATATTCACGCCGTTAGTGGGGCCAGCCCGTCGGCCGTTTTTCGCGGATCTTCACATTTATTTTTATCGGAAAATCCACGAAAAATGGCAGTTTTTCATAGACATTGGTGGCAGCATTGGCAACGAGGCCGACCGATTTTTTTTGTTTATGGGCCGAAAATTCGGCCGATAAACGGCCCGTCTATGGCCTGCCTAAACAGAAGATACAGTATGTAGGCTGCATGTGCATGTACATGCTGATTATTGTGATACCTGGCCTAAAATACTGTCAATAGGACAGGAAATGAAGGTTAATCTTCTAATTTCATGACTTGCATGGAGACCTGGATAGCAGTAAAAGTCAAACAGGGTTACTCCATCTAAATATTAGGCTGGCTATATACTTATAAATATTTTCAGACAGTTTACAGGCTGAACAAAAAATTCTAACATATTCCTCCAACTACACTATACAATGTGGATAGACAAATGTATTGTCATTTGCTACTGACAGCTGTCCAAATACCTGAACATTGGCTGCATGTTACTGGATGCAGCCACTGGTCAGCCTCAAATTTTATGTCTGACTGGATGAAATTCATACAATGTACAGCTCAAGAATAAAAACATTTAAGGTTAATATGCTTATTTTCTGCCATCCCTGGTTACCCCCACCAGTCAAACATGCTAATGAACATTTTAAATAAAAACTTTCTATTTTCATTATATTATATATCACTTTTAGACGCAGTGATGTCACTGTTGGTCTCTGTGCTTCTCTAAGCATTGAAAGCGGATCATGGCTGGTGGGAGGGTCCAGCAGTGTGCTGTACAAAACTTATTCCTGTCAAGAGCCCTCAGCTGTGATACAAGTAGAGGACTGGCTCTTGGAAGGAGATATGCAAAATCAATTCAGCTGTGGTGCGAATATAAAAATATTTGATGGGTAGACGTTAGTATGGAGACGTAGGCATTCCGAGGAATGCAGCATTTGCATGCAGACCACCCTACAAAACGTTCACATGTGATGCTCAAACATCTGAAATCTAATGAACGAAAAGAAAGGGCCAGGGACAGCATAGAATGCATGAAGAACGCATCTCCTAGATTGTAAGCTCCAAGGAGCAGGGCCCTCCTATCCCTCTTGTATTGAACTGTATTGAACTGTACTGTCTCCCATTATATTGTAAAGCGCTGAGCAAACTGTTGGCGCTATATAAATCCTGTATAATAATAATAATAATAATAATAATGAAGGTAAAAAAAAAAACCTTAAGCCTCTACAACCACTTTAAAATGTTACCTACATAGCGACTTGATCAATGCATATCACAAACGGCTACCCGAAAAAATGTAATGTCCTGAAACAGATGCAAAAGTACTTCCATGTAGCAGCTGGCAGTGGGAGAGACAGCAATCAAAATGTAAAAATACTGGAAAAACCATGAGGAGAGAGACTGCAGAAACATCACAAACTGGAACATGGACAGGAGACTGGATCTATGTATAATGTGACGTAGTTCCTCCACTAAATTAATGTTTTGTGGGCATACCCCCCTCATCAAAGTGGAAGATGAGAGGTACCCTGAGCCTTCATAAGAGACATATGGTACATGGTATTCCTCTAGCTAAGCTGTTTTTGGCAATATACATTGATCAAGTCACTTGTATGTAAGTGCGGTTTTAATTTCTCGCTATTAAAGAGGTTTTATCTGCACGATCCAATGCGCTCGGTTTCTGTTCTTTAACTGCATGTTGTGAGAAGCTTGTGGCGTGTAGTGAAATCAGAGTAAGTCATTTCAGTACAGGACATAAACCTGTACAACTGTGCAGACTAAAGGGAAATCAACTTTCATATAATGTTGTGCCAATCTTTACATCTGCTCCATCCTTTTTTCTATTTTTATACTTATATTTACTAGACTGTGGAGGTAAAAAAACATAAAAGTAAGCGTCTTTTAAATTCATAACAGCACATGTGATTAAAACACATTCCAGAACAAATGGAAGGTGGGGGATGGTGGGGTAGGTCATGCGAAGGTGACAATGGCAGGAACACAGGGAAGCCCATGCAGAGGAACTTACTGCTTTCCCGGAGTGTGGTAACCCATCAGAATGCTAAGACAGGGACAAGAAACATGGTGAAGTCAAACAGAAAAGAAGGAGATGGGGCGATAAAAAAAAAAAAAAAGCAAAACCAAGAAGGTTATAGGAAAAATTAGGATTTGTTGGGCTGTGTTATGATCAGTACAGCACTCATAGTCTGAAAGGAGTATTGTCGCAGTTCAGAAATGAAGCCTCAGATTTAAAGGATAGTTGACCGTGGTACCTTAACTGATAATATCCACAGATACACTATATTGCCAAAAGTATTCGGATGCCTGCCTTTAAACGCACATGAATTTTATCGGAATCCCAGAATTAGGCCGTAGGGTTCAATATTGACTTGGCCCACCCTTTGCAGCTGTAACAGCTTCAACGTTTCTGGGAAGGCTGTCCACAAGGTATAGGAGTGTGTCTATGGGAATGTTTGACCTTTTTTCCAGCATTTGTGAGGTCAGGCAATATTGTCGGATGAGAAGGACTGGCTCCGCTCTAATTCATCCCAAAGGTGTTGCAGGCCAGTCAAGTTCCTCCACCCCAAACTGGCTCATCCATGACTTTATGGACCTTGCTTTGTGCACTTCAGTGCAGTCATGTTGAAACAGGAAAGGGCCATCCTCAAATTGTTCCCACAAAGTTGGGAGTATGAAATTGTCCAAAATGTCTTGGTATGCTGACGCCTTAAGAGTTTTCTTCACTGGAAGTAGGGGGCCAAGCCCAACCCCTGAAAAAACAACCCCGCATCACAATCCACCTCCACCAAACTTTAAACGTGGCACAATGCAGTCAGGCAAGTACCGTTCTCCTGGCAATTGCCAAACCCAGACACATTCATCAGATTGCCAGACAGAGAAGTGTGATTCGTCACTCCAGAGAACATGTCTACACTGCTCTAGAGTCCAGTGGCAGGGTGCTTTACACCACTGCATCCGATACTTTGCATTGCACTTGGTGATGTAAGGCTTGGATGCAGCTGCTCAGCCATGGAAACCCATTCCATGAAGCTCTCTATGCACTGTTGTTGTGCTAATCTGAAGGCCACATGAAGTTTGGAGGTCTTTTGCTATTGACTCTGCAGACAGTTGCCGACCTCTGATAACTGTGAGCTCCCTTCTCTGTCATTTTACATGGCCTACCACTTTATAGCTGAGTTGCTCTTCCCAGTTGTTTCCACTTTGTTATACCACTAACAGTTTACTGTGGAATATTTAGTAGCAAGGAAATTTAATGAATGGACTTATTGCACAGGTGGCAACCTATCACAGTACCACGCTTAAATTCACTGAGCTCCTGAGAGCGCCCCATTCTTTAACAGATGTTTGTAGAAGCAGTCTGCATTCCTAGGTGCTTGATTTTATACACCTGTGGTCATGGTGGTGATTAGAACACCTAAATCCAATGATTTGGAGGGGTGTCCCAATACCTTTGGCAACATAGTGTACATTACACATGTAAGACGTATGCTTGATGGGCACTAAATTTCATCCTACCCATATGTTCATATGATTGATATGTTTATGTATATGCATTTTTCTGTGGTGATGAGGGAGTGTGGATTTGTGAATACACCTTGCTGTTGGATGGGCTATCAGAAGGCATTGTCATTTTACTCCTTATTAGCAGGTGATGGGTGATAATGTCTCTTTAACACTAAACTACAGTTAGTTTTAGGCCTTGTTCACACCATGTGCAGAGGTGAGTTTTTTTGCACATGTTCTGCAAGGACACATAGAAAACAATTGTTCTCTATGTGCCCTGTTCACACCACAAAACTGGTATCACGTGCAGATTTTGTTCTGTGCTGGAATCTGCAAAGTATAAAACTCACTGAAACGCGCATGAAAACTTATGTATACTCCTATCTCTGCAAGAGAAATCTCCACATTTTTCCCATCAGTTTTTCTGCACATATGGTGTGAATGAGGCCTAAAAGTCTCTATATGTAAAGCCATAGCTTTGCCTTGAGTTAAAAATTTATTGAATTCTTAATATTTGCAGTTTTTTTTGTAAAACTATACCCCCAATAAATACGTCCCTCATTTGATCGCAGGAAATGCTTTTCCAGCTCTCACCACCAGCCACTTTGTTCTTCCATAGCCAGTGGTGGTGTAACATCTCTTTTGTGGTCCTAAAGGGCTGTGGTGCCATCCTTACATCAGAAATCCCGGAGGATAACTAGTTTCTGTTGCCATCCTTACATCAACACAGGTTTCAGAAGGCGAATCCTTTGTGAAGATCTCACACAATTGCCCTGTCCCAGTCAAGAGGTTGGCAGTGATAAAAAAAACAGTGGGTGGTTCTGTACCTGTTCACAGAACTGCCCACCCACATCATAGGGGTGCAAGGGAATCATTGGAGATAAAGTTCAGTGAAGCTAAAAGTGGTGCTCACGTCAAAGTAAGAGTATTGACTGTTTTACTGTTATGGCACAGGTAATAAAGTATGGTGTTTCTGCACACCGTGCAATAGATTTAAAAAATAAATGTGAGGGTCTACTGTGAATAGAGGGACCATTTTAGAAAATAGTGCCTGGAACCTAGAGTTGAGCTTTAACGGAAGGAAATGATTACAGTAATTCACAATTGCATGCAGATCGGTCTGTAGTTGGTAGAAAAGTCATTTTTATTATAAAAACCATATGCACTGATTCTTAAACCTGTGTCTGTAACCTGAACTGGGGTAATAAAATCATCTTAGATTGTACACCCCTTGAGGGTTAGGGACTGATGTGAATGTTCAATATATATATATATATATATATATATATATATATATATATGTACAAAAAGCGCTGCGTAAAAATTGACAGCGCTATGTAAGTACCTGAAATAAATAAATATTAATTGACCAACTGATAAACTAATAATTACTTGTGTAATTGACAGGGACAGCAGAGGAGTACAAAGCCCTGTGATTGGTTTACATCTTTGTATGCGGAGGAAGGAATAATATATTGAAGTGTGATTGGCTGGATGGGGAAGTATCCAGAGCCTAGCAGAAGTTTCTCACCTTCCTCAGCTGGTTCTCCAGTTTCAGACATTCCTCCTTCCTCTGCTCCAGAGCGATCTCCAGGCTCTTCAATCTAGAGTCCTTCTTAAGGCCAGAGGAGGCCAGGGTGGAGGCATGCTCCTTAAGGTCAAGAAGTGAGGACTGCAGAGAAGACAGTAACACCAATATGTTAGAAAGGAACTTTACCCGTTAATATTTTCATTTACTGATGCCAGAACAGATGTACAGTGTGATCTAAGAAAAAAAAAATATAACCTTTTTTTTTGTAAGATAAATAAATACTGTTTTTGAGGCTACAATACCTCAGATAGGCTGCCTTTGGAATATTAATTAAAATGTTTAAAGATAAACTCCAAAAAATATAAAAGACAAAAATGAATGCAGCTCTGTATTCATTAATAAATCAATACGTTAACTTATTTCAATGCAACTAATGTAAGCACCGGATCCTGACTCAGTATCAGCCTCTATATTTCCACTATAAAGCAGTAATAAGACTGAGAAAGAGAGAGGGAGCCCTCGTAGCCAGTCAGGTGCACTCTATGAAAATACGCTAGCAAGAACATGCTCATTGGAGAGAGCAAAGAGATGTCCTCATCAGTCTCTTGCTGCTCCTTCACTATCAAAATAGGTAAGGTGCTGTTTTCCTTAAAGGCCAACTTCAAACTTAGCTCTACACCCCCCACTCCTTTTTGTATTCAGGTCAGACACATGACAAGATGGGTCCTCTTCTTCAGAACGTCTGCCAGCAGTGGGTGGTCCTCAAAGATACAGAGAGTGGCATTGAGGTGATGACTGCCATAATTACACTATGAGTACAGGGTGCAGTGGTGACATTCTCCTTAGTGGGCTGGGGGATAGGGGAAGGGTGGGACTGCAACAAAGATGCTCTGCACCCACAGTATATGTTTTCAGTAATTCAATTCAGAATCCTGATGTCATCTAGTGATGGAGGTACTGCGGGATACAGCACTTGAATGTGAAGTGAGTAATGCAGCAAGAGCTGTGCTTTTATTTCAACACTGGGTAGGGCACCTTTCAAAAAAAATAGCTTGGAGGATTGCAACAGAGAAAGTGGTATCATTTATCTGGCTGTGCCTTGATGTGTAAATATCGGGACAGAATAGATAACAATACAAATCCTATGTCCGGCAGAACAGCTCCCATATATGTATTTCATTGGTGAATTTAGAGGTTTGCCTGAAGTTGAGCTTTAAAGTAAATTTAAAAGGTTCAGGCAAGCTGTCTTTTTCCTGTCTTTCCACAAAACCGGGTATAGCTCTGTAAGTCCTCATTGGTAAGTGTTCCAAGGAAGACCTGGTTCCAGCCTTGCAGCTACAGTGATTGATGACGAGCTCCCTAAAACTGAACACATCAAGCAAGGTAGAAGAGTTATGTACTGATAGGTCTTTACACAAATAGAGGTTTAACCACTTCCCGCCTGCAATGTACTGCGGCAGGGCAGCAGCTATAGGCAAAGCAATGTACCCATACATCGCTTTGGCTGTACTAACACAGGGGGGCACTGCGCGTCCGAGCAGGAGCGCAGTGCTCCCGTCGTGACTGCTGTGTCCAGCGGACAAAGCAGAATGAAGATCCCAGTGAACAGGACCTGGTGATCACGTGATCGCTGTTTTTCACGGAAGATTTGTACCAATTGATTGATGGCCAAAGCAATTTATACCCACAACAATACAACGCCGCCCACCCAAACTGAGCTCTTGTCAGACAATTCGCATTGAAACCTATCACGGTATCAGAATTTAAAACTTTTTTGGGCCAAACCCTCAACATTATAAAAAAAAGAATGAATTGCGGTCATATTGATCCACAGAGCCAATTGATCATATGCCCGTGTTCTCTGCTGTTACATATACTGTATGCCCAATATGGACCAGCATTATACTGGTACGTCACTGGACTTTGAGTGGTCATACCGGGATGATGCCTGCAGCTACAAGCATCATCCTGGTAGCGTTATTTTCAGCTGGCGTTCGGCTTTCATGTAAAAGCAATCCTAGTGGCTAACTAGCTGCTGAATTGTTTTTTTTACGTGCAACGGGAAGGGACATCCCCCCCTCCTGCTGCCTTCCACAGTTTTCTTGGGCTCTCCTGTCCCACAGGGGAATCCGAGAATGCAGCCGGCAGATCCGATAGCTGACAATAGAGCTGACCAGAGACCAGAGTGGCTCCAATCATCTCTATAGTCTAAAAAATCAGAAGCTACGAGCATTTCATCACTTCAGTTTTGCATGGTATAAACAGCGCCATTTGTAAATTGGGAAAGCCGATCTTGGTGAGATTAGATAATGTAAGGGCAGAGGATCTAGAGTCTGATAAACCTCATATTTCTCAAAAAAGAATATATGACAATGCCCACTGAAGTTATAGGTGATAGTTGCAATCCCTGTGATAGCATTAAACGTGATAAAAAAAAAAAAAAGAATGGATTGCGGTCATATTGATCCACAGAGCCAATTGATCATATGCCCGTGTTCTCTGCTGTTACATATACTGTATGCCCAATATGGACCAGCATTATACTGGTACGTCACTGGACTTTGAGTGGTCATACCGGGATGATGCCTGCAGCTACAAGCATCATCCTGGTAGCGTTATTTTCAGCTGGCGTTTGGCTTTCATGTAAAAGCAATCCTAGTGGCTAATTAGCTGCTGAATTGTTTTTACGTGCAACGGGAAGGGACATCCCCCCCTCCTGCTGCCTTCCACAGTTTTCTTGGGCTCTCCTGTCCCACAGGGGAATCCGAGAATGCAGCCGGCAGATCCGATAGCTGACAATAGAGCTGACCAGAGACCAGAGTGGCTCCAATCATCTCTATAGTCTAAAAAATCAGAAGCTACGAGCATTTCATCACTTCAGTTTTGCATGGTATAAACAGCGCCATTTGTAAATTGGGAAAGCCGATCTTGGTGAGATTAGATAATGTAAGAGCAGAGGATCTAGAGTCTGATAAACCTCATATTTCTCAAAAAGAATATATGACAATGCCCACTTAAGTTATAGGTGATAGTTGCAATCCCTGTGATAGCATTAAACGTGATAAAAAAAAAAAAAAAAGTATAAAAATAAATTATAAAATCAAAATAACTAAGAAAAAAAAAACACCCTTGCCCCCCTGCATGTGCAAGCGTTGACCCCGTGTCGGTATGTAAACAGCGGTTGCACATTCATGGGAGGTATCGCCATTAACCTCAGATCGCGGGCAGTAACTCTAGCACTAGATCTCCTGTGTAAATATAAATTGGTGACCTGTAAAGGCTATTAAAGGATCACCTATCAATAATAAAAATGTATTTACTTTGTTGCCATTGCACGGGCATGAGCAATTTTAAGGCATGTCAGGTTTGGTGTCTATTTACTCGGCGTAACATTATCTTTTATATGTTATCAAACAATTGGGAAATATATTGTGTTTTTGTGCAATAAAATTCTAAAAAGTGTATTTTTCCCAAAAGATTTGGGTTTGGAAAATCGATGCGCAAATACTGTGTGACGTAAAAAATTGCAAAACCCACCGTTTTATTCACTAGGGCCACTGCTTTAAAAAAATATATAATGTTTGGGGGTTCAAAGCAATTTTCTATCAAATAAAAACAGTCTTTTCATGTGAACAAAAAGTGGAAGAAAAGGCTTGGTCTTCAAGAGCAGGTGTTGCGTGGCATAAGCTTCTTATGTTGGCCCTGAAATGCCAGGATAGTAGAAGCAACCCCTCCAAATGACCCCTTTATGGAAAGTAGACACTCCATGGTATTTGCTAAGAGGCATGGTGAGTGTTTTGCAGATCTCATTTGTTGCCATATGTTTTTGGAAATTGAAGAGAGAAAACAAAAAAAAAATATTTTTCCTTTTCTTTTTCAAAACCCTGAGAAAAAATGATATCTGTAAAATACTCACCATGCCACTTATTAAATTCCTTGGGGTGTCTACTTTCCAAACAGGGGTCATTTGGGGGGGGGGGGAGGTTTGTACTATCCTGGCATTTTAGGGCCTCCGAAACTGTGAGAGGTAGTGGGGAAGTAATATGAGGAAATATGCCCTTTGAAAGCCTGGAGGTGGTCATTGGATTTTGGGGGCCTGTATGTAGCTAGGCTGCCAAAACATCTCTCACATGTGGTATTCCCATACTCGGAAGACGCAGGAGAATGTGTTTTGGGGTGTTATTCCACATATACTCATGGCATGCATTAGCAATATGTCATTAAAGTGACAACTTTTTGTAAAGAATAAATAAATAGTCATATTCCAAAAATTTGTGGCAAAAAAAAAAAACCTTCCATGGACTCAACATGTCTCTCTGCAAAATCTTTGGGGTGTCTACTTTCCCAAAAGGGGTTATTGGGGGCGGGGGGTTGTACTGCCCTGGCATTTTAGCACCTCAAGAAATGTGATAGTCAGAAAGTAAAAGTATAACTTTCACACAAACCAATTAAAATACATGTATTGAGATTTGTTTAATCAAAGACATGTAGCATAATACATTTTAGCCTACATTTATGACTAACTTTGAGTTTATTAGATATTTTTTTTATATAACCAAAAGAGAAAAATATAGTTTGTTTTTTTTTAAATTTTCAGGTTTATTTCGTTTATAGAGCAAAAAATAAAAAACGCAGAGGTGATCAAATACCACCAAAAGAAAGCTCTATTTGTATAAAAAAAGGACAAAAATTTCATTTAGGTACAGCATTGCACGACCGTGCAATTACCAGTTGAAATAGCACAGTGTCGAACAGCAAAAAATGGCCTGGTCAGGAAGGGGGGTAAATCGTTTGGAGGGCAAGTGGTTAAAGTGACCCATACCATTCCTCATACTCTTCCATCTAACAGTCGCTGTGCCCAGAAGCTATCTATTTTTTACTTCATTTATGCTTCAATTTACTGGAATTGTTTATTTTTTATTATGGCTGACCTCACTTAAAAAATGATAAAAAAGACAATAATCCCAATTAGTCAGCAAAAGAGGAATGCCATTGTATCCAAGCACAATGAACACAGACAGACTTCTGGAGATAAAGACAATTTTTTATACAGAGTTTTCACAGACACTGTCTACGAATTACCATGAAAGGAGAAAGGGAACAATAAACTGTTTCAATGCACAGTTACTGTATTGTTAGATGTAGAACTTTTGGAGTTCTGCTTTAGCAATAGTTTTCACATTTTGCCGATATGTTCTATAATTAAGTATACCACACAGATTAAAGTTCGGTCTTACAAAGTAAGAAAACTGGTGCCTCCTCTGTTTGATATTCTATCAAGTCAAAAAATTCCAACTGATCAAAAACACAGATTGCAATCATTGATAAGAATAAAGGGGTAAAAAAAAATACATACAGTACATTAGGACTGGTTTTCTTTGCTGAGATGTTTACAAACCTCCCTGGCTATAAAATCTGGCTTATGGATGAATAGATACACTGGCATTCTCACCTCTTTCTCAGACAGATCTCCCTGTAACTGGCTGACTTTCTCTTTAAGGTCCTTCAACTCCTTCTTGCAAGACTCAATCTCTTCCTGCTTTTCACGTTCGTCACGATCCCGCTGTTCCTTCAGACGCTCAATTATTCTCTCCTGAGGAAACAAACATGAAGTGTGGTTTTTTTACTAGACAGTCAGATTAAAGGGTCAGTCCACCCAAATTTGTTATCTTATCCTAAGATGATGCCAAACTAAACTCCAGTGTAAAACTTTATCAATTGATTCCAGATGCAGTATAACTGTAAAAGCTCACATGGTTACCATTGGTTTACCTGGTAAAGCTGCCCAACCTATAGCAGCATAGCTTGTTCTCTGCTAATCTTTGTGTGGAAGCAGCGGTCTTTCTGCAGCAGCCCCTTACTCGCTCTGTACGTCAAAGCTAGAGCTCTCCTATCAGCAAGGCTCACACTCTCAGCTGATTGGAGAACTCTAGCTGTGAATCAGCAGGGGCATCAGACTGCTATAGAGAAACCACTGCTTGCACACAGGGAGCAAGGGCTCCACTCAGCAGCAGAGTGCAGAGCACAGGATTATTTACTAATGCTACTTTACAAAGAAAAATAACAGGCATTGAAAGCTTCTCCCAGTTTTTCCTTGTATAAAGCATTTACCCTGAAACCTCAACTGGACTTTAAAGTGACACTAAAGGTAATTTTTTTTTTAATAAAATAATAAAAACAGGTTATACTCACATGCTCTGTGCAAAGGTTTTGCACAGAGCAGCCCCAAACCTCTTCTAGGGACTCCCACCGGCAATCTTGGCTTTGCCTCTTCTTCGTATGCCCTATAGCAAGCTGCTCATCAGGGTACACAGTGTGTGCTCACTCCCAAGCTATGTAGGTCTATGTTGCCGTGCTCCATAGACACACACAGCTTGTCTTAGCTCCGCTTCCCACATCCTTCTCACTGCATATGATTGATAGCAGCAGGAGCCAATGGCTCCAGCAGCTGCTCGAGTACTGTGTGAAGAGAGAGAGAGAGAGAGAGAGAGAGAGAGAAGGGAGAATTGATGCAGCCATGGAGCACTGGATCTCTTCTGCCCTCTCTTCCTTTTCACTCAGGGAAGGGGTGGGGGGAACAGAAAGCAATACAATGTTGCTTACCCTTAATGCAGGGAATGCAATAATGCAAAAAACATTTTGGCTTTAGAACTACTTTAATTTCCTAACAGCAATGCAAGTCCCATATTTTTATCACGACAATTTTTTTTAACCTTGTAGTATCAATCTATATACTGTATTTTTTGCTCCATAAGACGCACCTGACCATAAGACGCACCTAGATTTTAGAGGAGAAAAACAAGAAACAAAATATTCTGAACCAATGGATTGCAGACATAGTACAGAAGATAAACATGTGGAACCAATGTAGCGCTACTCGCTTAAATTAAGATAAACATGTGAACCAAAATACCTAGTGGATAAATATCAAATAAATAAAATAAGTGTCCACTAAAGTGAAATTATGCACATAAAACATATATGTGATTAAATCTAAATCCTCACTTAAATATAAGCACTACCCAGCCTACTACGGCTTATATTCCGTTTAATCTACGGAAATATGGCCGCGGGAGCGGTGGGAGGACTTGTGATGCGGGCATTGACCCGCCTTCTGGGATGTCCATCTGTCTTTGCCGGATATTTAAGGGAGGATCATCGCTACGTATGCCAGCCCTGAGGAAGTCACATGATACTGTGATGCAACGCGTCGGCCCAACGTAGTGACGCATTTCTGGCGTGGCGGCCATTTTGGTACACCTTTGTACACCCTTGTACACCCATGCAGATTATATCCAAAAGCGTGTGGTTGGAGCCCTGAATTGTCACTGTTTTTAATGTAAGTGCGCTTTCTATTGTTTATGACACTTGATAATAAACATATTACACAATGGAAGCTTGTGTTTTATGTTCCATATGAGTGGTTGGCGCAGCATTTAACCTTACTTGGAGAAGGAGCCATTATTGAAGTGCTGATCCCTGGGGGGAGATTCATATACAGTGTGAGCAGTCATTTGGAGTGATACTTACCTGAAGGATCTGTGAGAGGGATCCTAGTAAACGTTTTGACTCGCAAGGGTAGAATCCTTAAGGTGAGAGGCTGATTCAGCCGGTGTTCGGATGATCTTCTGCTCAACTATCAACTCACTTCTATATACAAATACCAGCACGAGTGTTTTGTGTTCACCTGAGTGTGATCATCTTTATTTGGACTTTATATACACGGAAATATATGTTGTTTGTGTGTGCAGGTGCATGTATCGAGTTCACATATATGCACGTTTGGACCTTTTCACTTTATGGGGTATATATATATGTGTTAATGCACATTGTTAATGTATGTGCGTATATATATATATATATATATATATATATATATATTCATTTGCAAAAACCACGTATTACTTTTTAGTTGATATGGTTATTTTCACTTTAGTAATTTAGATTTAATCACATATATGTTTTATGTGCATGATTTCACTTTAGTGGACACTTATTTTATTTATTTGATATTTATCCACTAGGTATTTTGGTTCACGTTTATCTTAATTTAAGCGAGTAGCGCTACATTGGTTCCACATGTTTATGCTGAAGATCATTGGTATATGATTTAATGTGAGCAGCTTCTCTGGATTATTTAATTTTTTTGGAAGGTATCCTGAGCGCAGGAGGTTCACACCATTATAGTACAGAAGATGACCAGAGACTGCGGACACAGTACAAGAGATGACCAGAGACTGAGGATGCAGCACAGGAGATAACCAGAGACTGCAGACATACTACAGGAGATGACCAGAGACTGTGAACACAGTACAGGAGATGACCAGAGACTGCGGACATAGTACAGGAGATGACCAGAAACTGCGGACGTAGTACAGGAGATGACCAGAGACTGTGGACGTAGTACAGGAGATGACCAGAGACTGCGGACACAGTACAGGAGATAACCAGGTACAGGGGATGATGAGAGACTGCGGTCATGGTACAGGAGATGACCAGAGACTGCGGACACGGTACAGGAGATGACCAGAGACTGCGGACACAGTACAGATGACCAGAGACTGCTGACAGTACAGGAGATGACCAGAGACTGCAGACAGTACAGGGGATGACCAGAGACTGCAGACAGTACAGGGGATGACCAGAGACTGCAGACAGTACAGGGGATGACCAGAGACTGCAGACAGTACAGGGGATGACCAGAGACTGCAGACAGTACAGGGGATGACCAGAGACTGCCGACAGTACAGGGGATGACTGAAGACAGTACAAGGGATGACCAGAGACTGCAGACAGTACAGGGGATGACCAAGAGACCGCCGACAGTACAGGAGATGACCAGAGACTGTGGACCTTTGGGGAGGGAGGGGGAGCGGGTACCTGAATTTGACAGGTACCAACTCCCACTTCTGCTGAGTTGTCCTCCTTTTAGTGTGGGCACCCAGCTGTGACAGCCGGGTGCCCACTGCGCATGCGCGAGAAGCACTGAGCTTTGTGAATGGCCCTGCGTCTTCTGGGATACATGACAGGTCCCAGAAGACGCCGGGCCATTCACAAAATGCACAGTGCTGGACCGAGGATCAGGTAAAATCCTGCTGCAGAGAAGAGCTGAGCGGCCGACCCGGTATTCTGACACGGTGTCGGCAGCGGAGGAAATACCGGGGTGGCCGCTCCATAAGACGCACTGACATTTTCCCCCTTTTTTGGGGGGGAAAAAAGTGCGTCTTACAGAGCGAAAAATATGGTAAAAACATTAACACAGGTTAGACAGTCCCCTTGATCTATGTACATTAACAGCTGTGGTGTGATGGGGCTCTCACCTTCTCCGCCAGTGCCTCCTCCAGGGTAGTTAGTGCAGTGTCTGTGTTGGTGGTATCGGCCTGTAGAGATTTCACTCTCTCCTTCAGGCTGCCCAGCTGCTTCTCCTTGTCCCTTAACTGCTCCTGCAGGTTTTCGATCTAGAAGAGAAGAAAGTGTGACACGATTTAAACAAAAACAACAGAAACTGAGAATCAATCAAGCCAGAGTAACAACTCAAAGTTTGTAGAAAAGGGTGCCAAGATATTGTTGACAGTCCAGGTGAACTTTAGTAAATACAGTAGCAGACTTAAAAACAGTCATGACATTTTAGGGGGTTCCAAGATGCCCCTTCATCAGGCCTTCACAGTGTTGGACTGGAAATGAAGCTCTGGGAAGAAACATTTTTGAAACCTGGAGTTTTGAAAACAGCATAAGGAGTGTTCCCATCAGTGGTTTAGCTGCTGTTTTCCACAGGAAAACTCCATAATTGCCAAACATTTATGTTTAGAAAAGTCCAGTATAGTCAAACCCTGATTTAGGAGCCTCTTGGAACCCCAAAACATATTGGCTGTCTACTACTATCAACAATATCTTGGCTCTCCCTTCTTCTACAAACTTCTGTCCATAATTGTCATTTAATCTCGTAGTAAATTACAAATAAAGTGTAGAAAGCAAGAAGAGGGACATCATTTCACATACCTAATTTTTAAAGTATATCGAAAATAAAAATTTTATGTTTTAGTTTTGGGCAGATTAAGAAATGGTACGTAAAGGAAAGCCACATCAGTTTTTTTTGTATTGCAGTTTGTGTCTCATTGGTGGGATTTCCCGTTCCAGAGACAGAGGAAGTCAGAGGAGATCACCTCTTTGACAGTGGTTACCAATTAATGCCTCTAATGGAAACACAAACCCTGATGCCTGATGACAGTGGTCATGTCTCCCCACTCTGACTCTATTCTAGCACAATGGGAGAACTTGAAAGGTTTTGTTGGGGGAGGGTGCTATTTTAGGTAGTTTGCATTGAGGGTTTAGGCCCACTATAAAATAAAACTTTCAAAAACAAATGATTTTGATTCACACTTGTTTGACTATGGCATGCTAAACAAGAGAAAGTGCCACTGTCTTTATTTGCACTTGTGTCTCACTTAAAGACTTTGACTATTTAACTTTTTAGTGAGTAATACAGTTAAAGAAAGTGGCAACACTGCATATATACAGAATCAAAAATGATAAAATCAGGATTATGAAAACAACACAATCTATTTCCATCCAAGTTACTGATATCCCAGTTCCCAAACCCACAGCTCACAATATTCCTATGCACATTTCTTGTCCTCAGTTTTACAGTTTTCTCTCTGCAACTGGCTGAATGGTGAGCAAAGCCGCACACAACCGCAAGAGTGCGGCTGGCCTGGCCACAGGGATGAACACACCTCTCAGTTTATAGTGGTGTTTTACTGCCCTTTAATTAATCAGAACTTCTGGCCACAACAGGACCCATGGAAGACTCTTACGCACGAAGGACAGACCCGAGTTCCAAAAATACCTGCAGTCATAAAATGGGCCCTTTCAGGGAGAAAGGGCAGAGCAGGAAGTCCCGGGAGACGAGACGTGTTTGTCGTCTGAAAACACCTCTCAGCTAGTGGGGAAGGGTTAACTGACGAGTGTGTGTGGCCAGCTTTATCTCTTCTACTATATAATAGGCCAGATTGGAGGCAACTCTAAGGTCACATGCAGGGGGGGGGGGGCACTTATTTCTTAAAATATTCAGAGCTGAAAAGTTTTAAAGTGTTACTAAACCCACAACAGTAAATCTGCATATGCAGTAAAGCATATTTCGTATACTCACTGTGGAACTTAAGGGGTTAATCCCCTGCATTGTGTAAAAAGGATGTTTATTCTTCTGATTCTCCCCTTCTTCCACTATCCCCGACTCATCTCCTGATATAACAGAGCCTGGGGGCAAGCTGCACATGCTCAGTTTGGAGTTTATGTGAACAGCACAAGGCCAATAAGCACTGTCCAGACAGATGTTCAGGGATCCTGCAGTCCCATAGGACAGTGAGAGGACAATGAAAACTACTCCTATAAGCTTTAACCAGTGCTCTGCTGGACATTGATAGAAGCCACAAGACTGCTCTCACTGCTGATGAGAAAAGGTATTTAGCAGTTTTTTTTTAATAAAATAACAGCACTTCCATGTTCTGTGTACTATGGGAAACTAGATATAGTGAATGCAGGGGCCTGGGTTTAGTAACACTTTAAAGATCCAGGCAACAATGCTAAACTTCGGACCCTTCATTAAAGGGGGGCAAGGTTAAACTATATAATTACAATAATCATAATACATTGCTACTGCAATTTAGGCCATGTTGAAGTTTATATAAAGTAGATGTGAACCCAAAAATAAAATCTCATACAAACTTCAACATGTTAATGTAAATTCAAAAGTCATTCTCAATAATGGGAAATCTGCAGCTTTTAATAAAATATTCCCTGGTGATCCTCACATAAAGTTTCTTGTTCAGACACTTTCTGCCACAGGGTGACAACACTCTGTCCCTGCCTTCTATTTGTGCCCGTGTTGTCACCTTGCTATGTGGGCTTCAGATGGATAATATGAGTGATCGTTTCAACACACATTATGCATGGTCCACTGTTCTCAGGATCAGGAAACCTGCCCTGAAAAATACCATGCAGACATTGCTGAAGTGCACGGAGACAGGTGAGCAGTGATGAGCTATTACTGAAGAATAAAAAAGGTTGAAAAATAGCAATTACTTATATTACTATTTGCATAGTCTCTTTGTGCATGTGTGGGTTTCATTCAGGTACTCCTCCCACACTGGAAATACATGTTAGACTTATTGGCCTTGGTAGGTCTATGTAACTTTGCAAGATAGGGACCTTGGATTGTAAACTCCTTGAGCACAGGGACTGATTTGAATGTACAATACGTAAAATACTTTGTAAAATGTTGACACTAAATAAATACCTATAATAAATAAATTTAAAAAAATTTAATTACACAGTGCACATAGCAAACTAAATGGCATCTGGTTAAGGGTTACAAATACCTTTACATGACATTTCCACTTAAATAAGCTATTAGCCAGAATAAGCAACCATCAACTACTAAAAATCTAATTGTCTTTCTGGGCTGCTGTCAAGATAACCCCTTGTTTTCACATCCCCCTGCCCTTGTAACTGGCTCTATCAAAATAACTTTTATTTCAATGGCTGTCTGTTGAATGAAACGTTGCAATCCCTAGCATACATATTTTAGATACTTACAAAGAATTCAAAATGCATATAATAATGCTGAGGGTACAAGGATTCTTATTCTAGTACCAAAACGGATGACATGTGACTAAGGCATATGTTAAGCAGCCAACGTAGCACTAAAAGATTTCAGGAACTACATTGTAGTGGCCTATATCAATACCTACAGAACAAAAAAGCAAGTAAAGAAAAGTGAAAAAAAAGTAAAAAAAAAAAGAAAGTATAGAGAACATCTGGTACAAAAATTGATATATTTAAATGTATTTTATAACTGCCAATTCATATTTATGGTGGTGTTGGCTACATGCAGTTCTTTACAAAAACATACACCTAATGAAAATGCATAGATGAGAAGAATGCTGCTGATTTTAATGGCAGATACCTCATTATGTATTTTACATGCAGTTTCTTGAACATTTAAAGGAAAGTAACCAAAAGAAATACATATAGGTTGCTTTTGCTGTTCTTTTCTTACTAGCTGTCAGACTGAGGCTTTGGCTGCAACATATTTTATTGTTGCGTTATTAACCTGGAAAAAGTTAATTTGCTATAAACTTGGGGTTGTGATTCTGAAGTTTTGAAGGCAGAAAAATGAGACCGCAAATGGCAGCCCACATACAGTATTTCTCACATACAGTATCTCACAGAAGTGAGTTCGCCCTCACATTTTTGTAAAATATTTTATTATATCTTTTCATGTGACAACACTGAAGAAATGACACTTTGCTACAATGTGACGTAGTGAGTGTACAGCGTGTATAACATGTAAATTTGCTGTCCCCTCAAAAATAACTCAACACACAGCCATTAATGTCTAAACCGCTGGCAACAAAAAGTGAGTACACCCCTAAGTGAAAATGTCCAAATTGGGTCCAAAGTGTCAATATTTTGTGTGGCCACCATTATTTTCCAGCACTGCCTTAACCCTCTTGGGCATGGAGTTCTCCAGAGCTTCACAGGTTGCCACTGGCGTCCTCTTCCACTCCTCCATGACGAGATCACGGAGCTGGTGGATGTTAGAGACCTTGCGCTCCTCCACCTTCCATTTGAGGATGCCCCACAGATGCTCAATAGGGTTTAGGTCTGGAGACATGCTTGGCCAGTCCATCACCTTTACCCTCAGCTTCTTTGGCAAGGCAGCGGTCATCTTGGAGGTGTGTTTGGAGTCATTATCATGTTGGAATACTGCCCTGCAGCCCAGTCTCCAAAGGGAGGGGGATCATGCTCTGCTTCAGTATGTCACAATACATGTTGGCATTCACGGATCCCTCAAAGAACTGTAGCTCCCCAGTGCCGGCAACACTCATGTAGCCCCAGACCATGACACTCCCACCACCATGCTTGACTGTAGGCAAGACAAATTTGTCTTTGTACTCCTCACCTGGTTGCCGCCACAGACGCTTGACACCATATGAACCAAATCAGTTTATCTTGGTCACATCAAACCACAGGACAGGGTTCCAGTAATCCATGTCCTTAGTCTGCTTGTCTTCAGAAAACTGTTTACGGGCTTTCTTGTGCATCATCTTTAGAAGAGGCTTCCTTCTGGGATGGCAGCCATGCAGACCAATTTGATGCAGTGTGCGGCGTATGGTCTGAGCACTGACGGCTGACCCCCCACCCCTTCAACCTCTGCAGCAATGCTGGCAGCACTCATACGTCTATTTCCCAAAGACAACCTCTGGATATGGCGCTGAGCACGTGCACTCAACTTCTTTGGTCAACCATGGCGAGGCCTCTTATGAGTGGAACCTGTTAAACCGCTGTATGGTCTTGGCCACTGTGCTGCGGCTCAGTTTCAGGGTCTTGGCAATCTTCTTATAGTCTAGGCCATCTTTATATAGAGCAACAATTCTTTATTTCAGATCCTCAGAGA